AATCACTTGTAGTTCTTTTGCTAATCCACGTCTGTGTTTCGAAGCCTTTGTTCTACTTACTCCTATCCTTTCCGTCGATTTCCAGTGTTGTTGAGTGAATCTATCTCCATTAATGTTTTCAAATGACCGCCAATGAAAATGGCTCATTGCCAGATTCGGAGCGCCCAATCTCGATCAGAAAAAAACTGAACACAATGTTCTACCTTATGTGATTGCTATCCACAGCCAAACACAACGACGATATTGCGAATATCTTCACGACTTGGGTTAAAACCACAAAAAAATTCTGATTTATTTCACGTCCATTTTATTGGGTCAGATTTAGCGAAAGGATTAACAACAACAGGTATTGGAAATTCGACACATTTTACATAGCAATGATCCAAAAACACGCAAACACTACGCAAGCAACACAACACTCAATCCTAACCCAAAAAAAAATTCACAGTTCTGACAGTGAGAACTAAGAATATTTTTCCACCAGCAAACAGGTTAGGACTTCATTAAACTCCGAAGAGAATTGCATTTTGAAAATACAGAGACAGGAATACTCCGCTCAAATATAATCATATTCAGTAAGAAAAATCTAGCATATGACCGTGCTTCACCTACATATCCGAGAATATTGGGGTAAAACGAAACTCCTTAATAAGTGGAGAATGTTTTAGAAGATGGACAACCTTCAGTACCTATCTTCAGTTGATTCAAGGCCACACTAGGAATGCTTCCAATTACGTTCTAGAGCTATCCAGTGAGCTCAGTTTCTTGGAAAGTGACGGAAAAGCAACACGCCTCTTCTATAAAATTCTTGCGTTAATGTTCCACTTGAATGATATCAACTCATCCATTCTTTTAGTAGCTTGTTGGACAATGAAACGTAATTTGTCGTGATCTTTCAGTGTAAATGTAAGGTATGCTTGTTGTACGTAATCTCAAACGAACTCCAACGTTTCGTACCTTCCAGACACTTGTTCACGGGGTTTTTGCTCATGACCACACGCAAGATACAATCTTAGTACTTATAATCACAGTTCTCGTATACATGAATATATCTAAGTCCTTATGCATGAAATGTATGTTAGAACAGAACAGCATGAAAAAAACTTGCCCGTTCAACCATATTTTACCTCAGGAAAAGAAACGTTGGAGTCTCAGAGTTGTTCCTAGCTCATCTCTGAACCCTCTAGGCGCTACGTAACGATTCGTCGCGTAGCCTCATAGGCGACGAACATAAGATGGCCTATATAAGGTATGTAACGGCTAGCATAATTTTTGTGAATATTGCGAAAATCAATTCATCTACACTAGTGTTGAAAAGGTGAAGTAATCTAGCTCAGTTGAGGAGATTTTTATACTGCTTTCAAGACCACTAAAACGAAAGACGCTAGATCTTTTTTTCTATAGCGATTTCTTGCCCGTAAATAATTCAGACGCCACCAAACTAGAGAAATTTTTCTCAAAGACGTACAAAGGTTGGCGCATAAAAAACAAAACAAATAGGTATGGACGATAGTTCAAATCTGTTTGCTAAGAAAGCCACCACGTTCATCACCGTTACTCGTGCGCAGAAGAACATAGTCTTTCATTGATCATGGCTCCTTGAAGTACAACCGTATTGTTTCAATAGTAATATGCAATACAGTCTCATTCATTCCTACCAAATTTTCAAAGAAGGTGAATCCTAAGATGAAGGTGAACGTAGGAAATCGGTAAGAGACATTGACACAAATGCGATGCGTGCGTGTGTGTGTGAGAGAGAGCTGGAAGAGAGGAATACGAAATTGATAAGTTGATTGAGTAATAAAGAAGCAGAAAAAAATACACATCTATGGAGAAAAAATGAAACTCATAGTGCTGGCAGTAGAGCCACAAATATCTTTGAAACTTGTTTACACTATTTATTACAACAGCAATAATTACTGCTATACGCCGGTGGTTTCGCACTTCGCTCGATCCTTTCATCTAGCCATTCTTACGAGTTGCCGTTTGTATTCCGATGTATAGTAGCACTCACAACTGTGATCGAATATTCGATGTTATGCACTAAAATTCTGCAACAAAGCCCTTAGGATTATTTCTATACCTGTTTATTTCCGTAAAAACGCCCTCTATGGTTCAACAAACGATTTCCTAAATGAAGAACAAATAATTAACAACAGCTAGATTTTCGTCTTGGCAAAGAAAAAATAGAGAAAAGAAAGATGTATAGCTTGCTAATAGAAAAGAAAAAACTTTTAACAAATGTAAAACTCTCCTTACATAAGTAGTGACACTAGCAAAACACAATTTTGAAAACTGGTCAGTTGAAATTTCTTTGACAAATTTCACCACTATACTACGTCCCATGCTTAAAACGACACCTTATATCATTTGAATGTGCTTAACACAATCGAAGGATAAGAAAAGGATAAAGCTCTCGGCATTGATCAATCCCTGAGACATGGGTCAAGCATTCCACTTCGTTAAGCATCATTTGGAGCTGATTGAATGCATATCTCGCCTTTACAATGATTCGCGGTGGCCTACCGATGTACCGAGCCAGTGCTGCTATCCTCCCACACAAGTCTGGTACTAATTTGCCGACCCTGGAGAGATGGAAGACTTGGTGGGCCATGGGCGCAGGCATCGGTTCCACGTGTGTGTTGCAGGGCGCACTCCAGCACTGCGCCACACCACACACGAGCCCTACATAATACAATAGCTATGCAGTATGCGTTATTCAGGAATCGCATAATACAATATCTATGTAATATCTGAGTTATTCAGGAATATAAAGTGAAAACTACGGAAATGGGCAAAGTTCCATTTGATAATGAAAAGAGGCGTTAACTGGATGTCGTTATCTTAAGAAAACATCTTCTTGTTTACAGGTGGAGCTGATCACTATCACTTCTTGTCATGATGCTACCGAACACTAATCACACAAAAATAACTCCATTTCCTGGAAGAAGTACCATACAGCAATCCTTGGAACCATTTAATGCTTACAATCTGAAACAAAACTGAGTACAATAAATTATCTCCGTAAATGATCTTATCTTAAGATGTTTTTAGCCATTTCAGCAAACTATGGCAAACAAGCACTTTTCGTAATCAAATCGAGGTTATATCTTGTATTTTTACAATATGGTACTCTTTCTATCGTACTTAACTACTGATATGCTCATAAACATGGTCCCAAAGGCTAGCCTAGTAGTCTTATACAAGACCCAGATTTACATCAAACTCCTAGCAATTTCTTTCTAAAACGCATTACCGGACAATTCTGACTGAGGACTAGTCGATTCTGCTTCACTATCACCGAACAATGTACAGAATTAGTCTGAGAATTTAGCTTCTTTAATTATACAAACGACTCCTACTTCATTTAGTTGCTTCCATATATAGCGGAACACAAACCAATTCCTTCTGAAAACTAGTGTTTATGTGGTCGCACCTCACCTGAACTTCATCGGATGATATGGCAGCTATTGTTATTGCTGGTGGCATTTCTTTATTATGCTATAATCTGAAATGATCGTTTGAGATTGACCATAAATCGCATGAGCTCTCGGTTTAGTCCTAGCCGAATGATAGTTTGGAAACAATGTCACGATGCTGACGAACGGAATGGACGGAATGCAAATAGTTGCACGACGTATTGTGGACGTATTCAAAGCCTCGCGACAGATCAAAACCACCGCCATTAGAGCAGGTCCGCTCAGCCGTGCTCCGGCGACGGTGAGCGAGGAGGGACGACAACGAGCACCGACAGTTGTGCTGTACTGACTGACCACAAACGAAAAGTACAATGATATGAGTTAGGGCCACCGTTGGATAAACCTTATGCGCGTCTTGAGGCACATATGAATTAAGGTTTATTGACAAACCAATCTAAAGAAATCTTTTTCTTTTGTAAAAAAAGGCACCTAAATTTGCATGTTACAATTTTTTTCAAAATAAAAAAGTAAGAATCCAGCAAAATTGAAATTAGTTCTAGAAAATCATTAGCGAGAATGCAAGCAACAAAACAAATCTACAAGGAATTCTAATAAGTAGACAAGATTCTCGCAGTAGACAAAAGTCTACAAGTACAGTGTATCAAGTTAAATATGCTGTTTCATATCGTCCAAGTTCGCTAAGTTCAGACGATGTAAAACAGCACATTTATCCATGAAAATCTATAGAACCACATTCCATCACAACAGTTAGTAATATACGATATCACATTCAAGAACACGAGGCTTATTCATTAAACCACAGATAAAAGGCAAGAGTGAGATTTAAGGCAGAACAAAATACGTGCATTGATTGAATAAATAACAGAGTACCTAGTGAGGGGAATGCCCTGCGTTCAGGTAATGAAGTGAGTTTTAGGACTCGAACACCGGAACTTTTAACGACCATGTGTAAGTAGAATGTAAAATACTCTAAGTTCAATTATGCTGAGATATTTGCAAAACACCGGACGGCAGGTGTATGCGGTGTGGAACGAAAGGGTTTAAACGAAGGACCCGCATGGTGTGGTGGTGAACGCATTACTCCCCAGAAAGGACAATAGCGCGTTCGTTCACCACCGCATACACCTGCGGTCCGGAGTTTTGCAAATATCTCAGCATTATTGTGAGCTGAAAATACTCTAAGTTTCGTAGAAATTCAAACAGCGCTGAACAGCTTTTAACCATAACCGATAGGAGTCAAAAAGACTTGATGAGTTTTCCGTAGAAGGGGTAAAACAATGTTCGACCTCGACCATGGATTCCAAACTCTCCCTAGACCACATTCCTGAAACCGAGGTTTCTAACTTATACGATGCTGCATTTCTTCTTCGTCGTAAAGGTAGCAGCACAATTTTTGCAAAAGCTGTAATGTTACTGTGGATTTAAATACACTAAAGTGCAATAACAGAACACTAAAGCTGTGATGCAGAATTTATTCACTTTTTGTCAGTAAGTAAGCCTCAATAGTAAAAAAAAAATACAAGGAACCTACGAAAAGATCGATCGAAAAAGGGATTGGTTCTAAATAGAATTTAAAATTTTTGACTGAACTACAAATTTCAGGGAAATTAACGACGCTGACAGCTTCATGAGTTCATCTTTAAACATTGCACACGCACCTTGAGCATATCCGGCAAGAAGAGCAACGCCACGACAAGCCACATAACTAACGTCTTTCATCCTTTCAATTGCTACACCAGTTAATGTAGCAATAGTTTGGCATATAAAGTCGTTTGCCGCTACGCCACCACATATTCTAAATAAAAACCTTCTCTTCAAAGAAAACAAGAAATGCAAGGCTACCATAAAATTTCTACCTTATCCTAGGTTTGTCGATAATACCGACTTCATCGTGCATTGTCTCCAAAATTTGATAGACACGAAATGCGATTGACTCCAAAATCGCCCTAACCCTTAAATGACTATTGACTATTTACCGGCAGAAAAAAAACTATAAGGGTTGAACCCATCGGATGTTCAAGCTTCAGAAACACTTCGGCCCACATGTGAGCTTTCGTTGTATCCGGTCGAATACCTAGAAATCCACAGCAGGCTGTGTCGTTATTGATAGGCGTTTGAAGACCTTGAATGTTAAACTGTTCTCATTTTTAACACAGGGCAAGAAATGAAATGAGTAAGTCAAAGATATGACTGCTTTAGGACATATAAATCCTGCCTCCAAATGCAGGTATGAAGAGGACTCCATTTGAATCCGGAACCGTCCGTGCTAGGTCAGAAATTTCGGCAACATTTGAGAAGAGTCCTGCAAAAAAGACAAGAAAATCAATAGTCTTTGATTTAAACAACCTTTAGTTTTACAAATGAGAAGTGATTCTAGGTATCGGCGTACGTGGTGTTCCTCCTAGTTAACATCAGTGAGCTATTTGAAATGTTCCTAACGAAAAGCTGTTTAATAAAAGTTTTTAAAAAGCGCTTTGAAGGATTCTCTCACGTTAAGCAACCACAGCTATAAGTTGCTTCACTGACTCAACACGGTTGCTTCGTGCTCCTAAGTGTCAAACTGCAACACACAACGGCAGATGAGTAATTCACCACTCAGAATACTCATCTAAGTGAAGAAGGCACTGACTGCTCCATCACACGATCCAGCCAATAAGAAACGAATACCAGAAATCGCCACCGTTCTCCAAGAAACGTAATTGCAAAGTGGAAGACATCTGCTCGAGCAGTAGGGGCTGGCAAGTGAACAAAGTAGGAACAATGCAGTACAGCTCCTTTTGGATTTCAATGGATAACCCTTTCCAAATAAACAAAATATCAGTAAATTGGTACACGCATAATTGGTTGCAAAAAAATGTTAAAAGAGGAACAAACGCATATATATATATATAT